GAATTCTAAAAGTTCCAGTTGGAATTTGTTACCTGTAGAGTTTCACTATGTAGGAGGTGAAATAGATATTAACAATAACATTTAACTATGTTCACATCGTAAGGTTGAAAATAAGAACTATTGTACTCCTAATGGTGGAGTCAGTTGGTTATGAAATCGATCCCATTTATCAACCAATCAGGAAAATTCTGCACAAACATAGGAACAAAAATCAAACCAGTGGGAGATACAACCAAAACAAAAAAGTAAACAATGGCATGTTTAAAGTCAAAAAGAACCAATCAAAATCGAGGTGTACAGAACAAGCTGTGAACCACATGTGTAGAAATTCGAACACTTCACTTTTACTTGAAATTTGTGCTGATAATGTCATTCAGAAGAACGATGAAAACTCCATCCAGCTCAGAGAACAAAACTCCATAAAATTATTATACTCCAACTCAGACGTCCTGAAAAAAACATACTGCACGATCGAAATTTCCTTAATTCGATTATACTTAGTGATGTACAGAGAATCAAAAACGAAAATAAACCAACTATCCAATATTCGATGTTTTCCCATAGCACTGTACAACAATAAAAAAGAAAGCTGAAACTAATTAATACCTACGCATTATTTAATAAATACTTTTAAAATCTATTAGTAATATCTAAATACTACTGAATAAACTAAAATTAGTATCATTATTAAACTGAACAAATGTAATGAAATAAATGATTACAGTATCACAATATAATGATTTATGCTTGTTTTAAAGCAAATAAAAATTAAAACAAAAAAGCAATAAACATTAAAATTAGTTCATTTAAAGTAATAGAAATGACTTTTTGAAATGCAAACAAACAGTTCACTTGGTGTTGTTTTACTTGTATCTTTCCATTGTTATTTAAGACTGCGATTGATCAGTCTTATGTTGGCATATGTGTATCCTGTGCGGATTGACTGGATATAGACTTAAGTCACAAACAAACAGTTATTAGACTAATTAAAAGTTTCACTGATTGAAATCATGAATCAATTGAAGCTAGACCACTATGGAAAACCTGGAAGCACTGGACGGCCGTTTTGTCCTAGTATGGGACTCCTCAGCATTGCGCAGTTCTAGTGAGAAGCCGTTACCCGTGGGGTTCAACCAGGTCTGTTGTGAGATATCAACTCATTGAAGACAATGGTATACGGTGGCGTAACTTCGTGGATTGGTTGAAGTTAGACATTAACACCGTTCGATTCTGGCCAGCTCAGTGGTCTAGTTGGTTAAACGCCTGGTACGAGACCGATAGGTCCTGGGTTTGAACCTCGCAGAGTGCGGAATCGTGAATGCGCACTGCTGACGAGTCGCATACTAGGATGAAACGGCCGTCCAGTGCTTCCAGGTTTTCCATGGTGATCCAGCTTCAATTGACTCATGATTTCAATCAGTGACATTTCTAAAATCTCCACAAACCCCTTCTGATAATTAAAAGTTGTTATTGTTAGTAAACAAACAAACAAACAAACAGGAAATACAGGTACAATGAAACCTGCACTATACAAAATAAATGTTTAATAATAATAATGAAAATATCACAAAAGTACATAGTTGACCATTTATAATATTTTCTTAGTTACAATTTAGATAGAATAACGTAGATAGGAAACAATAGTCTGAATGATTAAACTTACAATTTAATCTATCCCACATGTTTGATTTAATTTATTGAATAAAATTAGATTTATTTTGATATAAATGGTAAACAACATTTAACTGTAAACCAAAATTAAAAAGAAACTTTTTTTTTGAAAAATGTTTGTTTTCTATTCTTTGTGTTCCTTATTAAATGTAGAAGATTAATGGATGAAATAAAAACTACTAATTCATAAATAAGGAAAACATAAAAAGTTACGGAATTCTATAAAGGATACTTAGAAATAATTAAATAAAACACTGTCATAAAGAATTGTGATGTAAAACATGTTTTACAACTGTCAATAATCAATAGGACGAAACGGCCGTTCAATGCTTCCAAGTGTTCAACGATGATCTAGCTTCAATTGACTCATGATCTCAACCATTAAAATTACTACAATATCCACAAAATCCTTACTGTTATGAATCAACATATGCTCACTAGTGATTGGCTTCAACAGGTATTTCCTGGAGTTCAACCGAGTCGGTTGTGAGATAGTAAATCACTGAAGATAATGGTGGATGTGTAGCTCAATTTCGTGGACTAGTTGAAGTTAGACATTAATACCGTTCGCTGCCGGCCAGCTCAGTGATCTAATGGTTAAGTGCTCGCACGCGAGACTGATAGGTAGTGGGTTGGAATCTCGCTGGGGGTGGGCGGGATGGTGGATGAGCACTGATGAGGAGTCTTACAATAGAACGAAACGGCTGTCTAGTGCTTCCACGTTTTCCATGGTGGTCCAGCTTCAATTGACTAATGATCTCAACTATTGAAATTTTTTTTGCTAGTCCTTAAATCATAATTTACTGTGTTAATTAAATGAACTTTTTTTAGTGTCATATGAAACATTTTTAATATAGTAAAATTACAGATGATACACTTCTTATCAAGTACAATACAAATCTGGTATACATTTTATCATATTTAATTTTACATTCTTCATACTTCTTTGTGTATCAAATTTCTTACAATAGATTATTCATCAATTTTTACTGTTATGCGATTGAAGGTAGTCGATAGAGAATTCTGGACTTGGATTTCATGTAAGTTGGAAATCCATAGCAAGTTGCATCAATCATCTTGAAGGAACTGATGCTCAATATAGGATTCAAACCTATCTCACCAAATTTTGTCATATGAGACATTACTAATGAACTATCCTACAGCAACTATTCTTTTGAAGGACTAAGATGTGACTTATTTCGTCTTTATCTAGTAATTTATTACTGGTTGAACTCTGTCGACTCGATATTTTATTGTTGAATAACTGAGACCAGTGGCAACAATGTGGCTTAATCGATAAAATTCAATCAGCACCGAAAACTTAGACAAACTTGACATTAGTCAGTGCTTAGTAATAAATTATTGACAACAATTATGTGTAGCATCGCCCTCTAACCAGGAATCTCCAAAATATACTATCCTGGTCCCTATTTCCCAGTCGTTTCCTAGTGCTAATAATTCTTTTGCTAATTGTTTCCAATTTTCATATACATTTGCACATAAATCTGGAAATCTCTTCCGCGTTTAAGTCCCTTTCATTTATTTCATTTTGTCTCATGACATATTCATTCTCGGTCAAGTCGTTTCCTGGATACTTCGCTATGATCGGTCTCAGCCTCTTGTAATAATGATGATGATGATCATCATCACCAAGTACGATACAAATCTGGTATACATTTTATTATATTTAATTTTACATTCTTCATGATGATGATGATGATCATCATCATCTCCACTGCTATCTCTGGTGAATGCATAACACCAAATAACATTCTTTGTAGTCCTCTCTTTCTTTGTTTTCAAAGATGCTTTGATGTTCCTGCATTCGTAGGATTCTCATCCTGTGAATGCGTTTCGTGCTCCTTCGAATAGTGTCAATACAAATCCTGGTGTATGTGTTTTATCTTCTTTTTGCGTAGACACAGTACAACAACATCTCTTCCAAATCTAATCTTTTCGTTGCAGGTTGAGTTAAACGGGTTTCATTTGTTATGAGAATGACAAGGTTGTATGTTCTCGTTTCCTCAGCTGTATGAGTGGTTCTCTCGGTCTCCCAGGTTGTGCAGACATTCGATGTACCTATGTTAGTTGTTGTTCTGGTTGTTAGAGGAGATATAGTCCTCATGACTTCGGAAGAATTTTGGCTTTCACGTCTGGGCGTTACAACTCTCTTAAATAAAGATACCGTAACTATCAAGGCTTATTAAATTTTTTTCTGGTTGTTTTCTTCGGAATGGGGTTGCTAACCCTATGCTCACCCCTTCCTATTTATCCGCGCTTGGGACCGGCAGTAATTATAGAACGGTGTCGGACGGAGTTTAAACAGTATACGCTACCTAGTTATTAAGATTAATATGTTGAAAAAAGCATGAGAATTCAGCCAAATGATAGTTGTTTACTTGTGATCAGTAGCAATTTTATTTTAAAATGTTACCTACTATAAGCCAAACATTTATTAAAAATTAAATAAATCAATTTCTTTCTTAACAGTCGTAACTGTTAGCCAAGCAACTACTTAGAATGATAGGCTGTAATAAAAAACCCTGAAAAATTACCAATCTACACTAAATTAAAATGATGTAAATATAGCATGTACCTGTTTTTTTATAAAAAAAAATGTTAATCTCAAGATTAGTTAACATTTCTGGAAATTAATTATTATTAAAAGGTATTTATAATTACTAATCATTAGATTAACAATAGTTGCCAACACTATTGAAGTTATTAAGCAGCCTATTATATATTTAAGCTCTTGTCTGTTAACACATATCTACTTAATAGATATGTGTATGGGCGTTCAAGGATGGATGTTATAGAGTTCAGTCATTTTGAGTTAGCAAATCGAATTTTAGCAAATAAACGTCATGTTTTTTCCCCTTTTTCTTACCGTTTTGTTTTATTCTTAATTTCTGCAATCACTATTACTAACCCTAACCTTTCTGTCCCTTTTGTTTGTTACTTTGACCACCACAATAATGACAATAATAATAATAGTACTACTACTCCTGCTACTACTACTACTAATAATAATAATATTACCAAAACTACTTCTATTACGAAAACTCTTATTTTTATAGTGATCAGATAATATATTATTTTGGGTTTGGAAATTACTAGACTCATTTTTCATAGTTGGTATACTTGAGTGAGAACGGAAGACATAGAGAGATAGAGAGAGACAGGAAGAGAGGAACAATGAAAACAACTCAATCCTTTAAAAACAATTCATAAACACATATGTATATATACATATATGTGTGCATATACGTGCATATATATATATATATATATATATATATATATATATATATATATAATAAGTAGTTTCGTTTGACTAATTCATTTCTTATTTGTAATTAGTCTGCACAATTTAACCTATAGAACAGTAAAAAGAAACAAATCGCAGTACACTTAATTATAAATTAAAATTGGGCAAGGATAATAACACACAAATCTCTTCATATTTCATATTAATTAAACACTATGAAAATATATAAACTTGATAATAATAATAATAAGATGATTATTGAACAATTATTTTATTGTCTAATTGTCTTAATAGCTTTCAGTAGTATCATCAATGCTGTAAGTTCTTATTGTTAATATGTTTAATGTTTTGTTATAGAAATTGATTTTGTACAATAAATTATGAAAATCTATAATTTCTATTGAAGTAATCTCATTTAATATAGCGGTAAATTGAAGCTGGTCTGTTAGTAATTAACCATATACTTAAAAATAAATAATTTAGCTTTATATGCTACCGAAAAGTGTTTGTTTCCATGCCATTAATTCTGATTGTATGAATTAATTTATAAAGTAGTTATGATTTATTAATCATTTAACGAAGAAATATAAATTGTATATTTCACTTGATAGTATGTGTTACAATAATTCTAGTCATCTTCTAAAGATTGTATAACTAAATAGTAGGTGTTAAGCTAATCATTAGCTTTAGTTGTGAAGATTATGATCATATCACGTTAAAATGACTGACACTGGAAATATGGAATAATTAATTATGACTAAATGGATTAACTTAGAACGTACTTACTTCCAGAACTCAGATATTATAGACCTTACAAGCCCTTATAATCGTAAATGCGATATGCTGAGATGTCTTATGACGGGAGTGAAGAGCCTGTTTACTACTCTCCATATTTCATTGCTTTAACGGACTGGGTCGGTCAACAATGATAAATATTAAAATGTACAAGTGGTCATAAATTATTTCAATAAAAAATGTACTAATCTCACTAGAAAACATTATTCATTGTAATTAGTTTAAATCAATCATACTAAAAATGAGTTTTGTTAATAACTTAAACAAATACAACATTTTATGAATAGAGTGATTTATTATAAATTTATCCCCAACAAAGTTTGTTTCTGTTTCCACAACTGCCATTAAAGTGTTATACTTATTGGATCAAGTGAGTGTGAACGTAGTATAATCTGTTACGAAGCACGTGACCTTTTTTCTCATTAAAAAAATATTTGATTTCCATGACGGATTTAAGATCATTTTAAATATTCTCTTTATATTCTATGTAATTAACATATCAATAGGTTCCCCGAAATTAGTTTTAATAAAGAAATTGTTGTATTTCTTTGTAGAATTGATTATATTTAAGAAAGAAATCACTGAAAAACAATTAGTTCACATTAAAAAGGAAAAATGTATTTATAAAATCTCAGCGAAAGAATTTGAAGTAATTCCAACATTTCGCCTGGCAATCTGGTCCAAGTTTTTCTTGATTTTTTTTTCCTTGTAAAAGCTTGGACCAGATTGCCAGGCGAAATGTTGGAATTACTTCAAATTCTTTCGCTAAGATTTTACAAATACATTCTTCCTTTTTAATGTCTCACATTAATTCGGTGCTCAAATATTGTGAAACTATTCGTTCAACTTTAGACGAAAGTTCTTAATTAGTTCACATGTATGGAATGATTGACACGAATGAAATAAGAACAAATATCTTCATTGTTAAAATAATGAGAAAAGTTTTAAAAAAAAAACAACATTAACTTACCTTTTCTTATGCTAGTTGAAACTTATTAACGAAATAGGTATCATTACCATGGTTTGACTTGATAATTTCGAATAAATTGAGCATTAGGTAGGTTGTTATAAATAAATTAATAGATTTGTAATATCCCAATGAGTAGAAAAATTAGATTTTCTAACGTTTCATGACTTAGTGTAAACCACTTCTTCATAGAATAAATAACCAAATCAAAATGAATCCAAGTTTAAATAGTACAAAGGAACAACGCAAGAATATATTCTTATTGAAATAGGTCACACTAAGTCATGAAACGTAAGGAAATTCAATTTTTTCTTCTCATTAGAACGACATGTAATTAAAGTCACTTATTATTAACTTAGTTCTTTATAAATCTCTAACAGATCTTATTCGATCGTGTAATTAATGATAGCACTAATGAGTTAGTTAATGATCTTTTAAAATTATATTGTATACATTATTCATATTTAAATTAGATATAAAATTGATGTTGGTTTTTGATATTTAATAATAAAAGTAAAGCATCAATATTTACTATTATTATTGTATAAATATTTCAAATAACAATAGTCAAGATCTTTAAATGGATAATTACTAGTGAGATCAGTTAATGTTGAATATAAAGATCTAGTATATGTAGTTGCTTAGAACTTTCTTCTATACTAATTAAATGATCTAAGTTTGTACACATTAACATGGTGTCTTATATGGTTTCATCCATTTTAAATAAGACAATTTTGAAATAAATTAAATAGTAACCGTAATATTCTATGCGATAAGAAAATGAAGTTTATCAGAATTATGTGATATAATTGCGCAATACATTTCGAAAAAACTGATCACCCATATACTTGTTAAGACCAAGTCATCAATTCTTGGAACCTGTTACCCGAAACAGTGGTGTCCGCACCTTTAATTGACACATTCAAGAGAAGACAGAACACTCATAGAAGTATACCAGAAAAGGAATAAAATAAGTCGTAAGCCTTCTGTCCTTACTACACAAATCTGAAATTTGAATCTGACATATCTATGGACAGGTTAAAAGTAAGCCGTAACAAAGAAAAAAAAGTAAACAAACATAATGTGATAACCACACTGAATAATAAATCAGTATTACCGGAGTAGGTTAAGGGTAAGGACAAATTGTTTTTGGACGTGTGAAGGGGCTTTCAGTTTCCATATGGCTAAGACTCCTATAAACTTTAGTACACGTCTTTAAAGGCTTTTGTAGAACACTACAAATGCTGACTTGATGTCAACCTTATGACTAGTTTTAATCAAATGTTTCACAATCGAGGAAGATGTTTGTTTATCCTGTGATCTCATTCGACCATTAAAATTCAGTATTTATATATTTTTAAAAAAATCTTTATCTATTCATTATACTCATAGTCCATTCTTTTATTTAGTTTAGTTAGAAAAAGGAATGTACTAACTACTTGTAAATCATAAATAATTAGTAATATATTTAGTCTCGATGACATTTTCTTCTAGTCGGTGAATTTATGATATTTTTATTAATAATTGTATTCTCTTTATCTAATCTCATAATGAGCATCATTCTATTCACTTGTATACTAGAAAGGGAAAAAAAGTAAATAAATCATTAATTAGAATAAAGTAAACATATAGAGAAGAATTGTGAGTAAAGAAAGAAACAAGACAATAGAAAACAATTAATCGATATAATTGGATATTAATTTCATTCTAATGATGGTGTATTCTCTCTTATTTTCCACTTGATAAAAGATACATAGATAAGTCTGCTTTGAATTTACAGAAATAATAAAGAATAAAATGTTTTTTAAGAAAAAACACACAGCAACAACAACATCAACATATTAATATTCATAAGTACATAATTATAGTTGTAAGCAGATATAATTTGTTTGAAGAATATAGGCAGATTTGTTGTATAGTTGGCAACAATTATGAAATGATTATTGAAGTTGAAAGTTTCGTACAATTTAGCAACTTCGACCGATGCATATATATGTGCCTGGTTCTATGTTGTAGATGACTGACTGACTATTTATTATCATTAAAATATATTTAGTTGACTTATTTTATTGTGGTTTATCTTTCACCTTCAAACTAGTTAATTTTATACAGGACTACATTTATTTTTAGTTAAACAACAGAAAATATGATAATGATATTAATTTGTGTATCGATAACTATAATCGAAGAGATTCTGTGAAGATTGCAGTAATTTAAAAATCGAATTCATAAGTCAATTTCAGTTAGATCACCAAGGAAAACCTGAAAGCACTAGACAGACGTTTCGTCCAGCTATAGGACTTCTCAACAGTGCGCATCCACGATCCTGCCCCACGAGATTTGAATCCAGGACCTATCCGTCTCACGCACAAACGCTTAACCTTTAAACCACTGAGCCAGCATCCAACGGTGTTAATGACTAACTTTAATCAATCCACGAAACTGCGCCACTGTTTACCATTTGTAAAATATTTGTAATTCTTTCAAGAAAATTTCTAATCCAATTTATTTCTATCAATCCTTGCTTGATCAGTATTAATGAGTTTTCTATTTAAATATTAAACTAAAGTTTGATTATAGTTAAATGTAAGGCAAAATGAATCGTCTAGTAAACTAACAAACTCTTGTTATGAAGTGTCATCATCTCAAAAAATCCCATTGTTTAAACACTAAGTAAATGAGGATCGATTTTGTTTGAAAAATTTATTTTATTATGAGCTAAAAAACATGTTGTTTATCAATCAATAACTTCGATAAACTTGACATATGACCTTAAATTGATTATAGTAATCATTTGATTGATGAAAGTTTTTTCAGGATCTATTTCATTTTGCCTGTTTTTTTATTATTGGAAAAAGAAACTTAATTTCATTTAATTAGTTTATGATGAACAGTCAGAATATTTGTTTGAGATCTTGGACTGATTGTTGTTAAACCAACATTGAAAACGTGGAAGCACTGGACAGCCGTTTCGTCCTATCATGTGACTCCTCAGCGGTGCGCATCCAAGATCCCGCTCTCAGGATTGGAACACAGGGCCTTCAGTCTCGCGCGCAAACGCTCAACCTATTTGACCACTCAGCCGCCATCTAACGAAACAGCTGTCCAGTGCTTCCAGGTTTTAAATGGCTGTCTAACATCAATATGTTCAAGATCTCAATCAATATCTTAGTAATCTCCACAACGCTATACAGAATATTTGTGTTGGATACGTTTTACGACGTATGTGATAAATTTATAATTTGTAAGGAAATATCATGATAATGCTAACTACATGGTGCAAAAGCGTGTTACTGTCAATAAAATATAACCATAACTACTTAGTTTGTTAAGTATTGTGGTGATGTAGAAATTCAGTTTAATCAAATCAGAGTCTGGGATCCGTTGAAAAATATTCCAAACCTAACTTATGTCGCACATCTGAGGTACATATATCAAATATTGTGTACTATCTGTAATATTTAGCTTTGATTCTTTAAAATAATCAAAAAGTATAAGTATTTAGAACTATGACCACGGAAATACAGATTGATCCTCTATGTAGTTTCATAATAATGAGTTTACAATTGAATAGTTCTTATAATGCGTTATAAAAAGAACTCCAAGAATTTTAAAATAAGGACTTGTTTGTGAAACTTTATCACTTTATGTTCATCAAATTGATTGGAAGTAGAGAAATGGCCTACCAATCACTAGCTATCTTTGTCTATATTAAACAGTTGTTATGAGACAAACCACACTATAGGGTATGCACCATAAACAAACCATACTTTTTAATTGATAACGATTAGGAGTTAATCGTTCAAATTTGATCCTTTGGTTTAAATCAGAACATATCTGTTTTTTTCACTTCTTTGAACTGTTTATTGTGTACTGAATAGTTGTATGTTTTGATTCAGATCACACATATTATATTGCTGATGTCAGTTTGCAGTGATGCAATCTTCTTCAAAATCTATGCTTCCTAAAGTAAATGGCAATTGTGACCACCCTACAAAATATATTCTTTTGAAAGTTTATGAAAACTCTAGTTCATAGTAAAGTGAATATATTATGAATGGTAATACTTTTGAGATACTATAATCCTTCTAGCCGCAAATAGGTTGACAGCTTTAAAAATATTATCATTCATCTATCAAGTAACTGTATTAGTATTTCAATCACTAGACGATGAATATTACCTAGTTTTCTTTGATTAATTGATTATCAAATTTTGAATAAAAAGTTAGATTAAAATACTTGTGATACTTTATTTATTACTTATCTACTTACTTACTCCTGTTACCCCTCGTGGAGGAGCATAAACAGCTCACAAGCATTCTCCATTCAACTCTGTCATAGAAATCCTTTCAACTTCTTCCCAGTTGCTATTCATACTTTTCATGTCTGCCTCCGATTCTAAACGCAATTTGTTCTATAGCCTTCCTCTTTTCATCTTTCTTTAGGATTCCAAGTTAGTTCTTGCCTTGTGATGCAGTTTAGTGATTTCCGTGATGTGTGTCCTATCCACTTCCGACGTCTTTCCCCAAGTTCGTTTGTTCTCTCCCACAGTAGACTGTTACTGATGGTATCCAGACAACGGACGTTCATTATCTTACGAAGATAATTGTTCACAAATACTTGTACCTACTTGATGATGGTTGTGGTAGTTCTCAAATTTTCAGCTCCGTACATTAAATCTGTCTTGATGTTCGTATTGAAGATTCTGACTTTAAAATTGGTTGACGGTTGTTTTGAGTACCATATGTTCTCAAATTGTAGGAATGTTGTCCTTACTTTGCCAATCCTCGCCTTGACGTCTGCATCCGATCGTCTACATTTATCGACGATGTTGTTCACGGACGTGAAACTTTCCACCACTTCCGGAGTTTCTCCATCAAGTGTGATTGAGTTGGTGTTCTCCGTGTTGTATTTGAAGACCTTATAGAATGATACTCTACTCTGGTATTAGTAATGCTCGAATAATAGATCTAATCCTAAAATTGTAGATTTGTCGTGACGTAACTGCCTAATCTGTAAGATCTTACGTGGAAGTTACATCGTCGTCTAAACCAACTCATTGCATCGCAACAATTACCAATACATGATGGAGAACAAGCTTGGGCTTGAAATAGAACAATATATTTAATGTGAATAAAAGATATAAGATAAAACTCAGCAGGGACCATGCCTGAATGGCAGAGTCATGCCATCCGATCAACTCCAGTTCACTGTTCCCGCCCTCTTCATCGTTAGGTATTTCTCCGCGTTAAATGTTAAATATCCATTTTCTGAGTAGTCTCGTGTTCAGCTTTGAGGATTGTGTGGTTATGGTCCAATGCCACTACAATCTTGCCTTTTCCTTTGTGTATGTCAAGGCCTGCTGATGTAGGGGCTGATGCTACACTAGTTGTTTTCATTTGCATTTGTTCGTATGTATGGGATTGGAGGGCTAGATCATCTACGAAGTCCGAATCGTCTAATTGGTTCTGAATTATCCACCGTATTCTGTGTATTCCCTCAGATATTGAGGTCTTCATAATCCAGTCGGCTACCAAAAGAAAGAGAGAGGAAAAGAGTAGACAGTCTTGTCTGACTCCGGTTCTTACTTGGAATGCAATTGTCACCTGTCCTCTATGCAAGATTTTGCACTGTAGTCGGTCTCATGAATTCCGGATAATGTTGACGATTTTCTCAACTAATCACACTATAGTATCGAAAAAATTTCAATAATATTCTCTTATTCACACTGTTAAATGCTTTCTCATGATATTTATTAATGCCTGTTAATTTAGTTATTTTTACTTTATTATGAATTACTATTTGTAAGAAATGTGTTTTATTATTTCAACGATTTACAATGAAGTAAATGATATCGTTCAGTTTCATAAAGCAAATGACATAAATCATTTTTTCTAAAGTTCTATTCATTGATTAGAAGAAACTACAATTACTAATAATTATATATTCTCAGAAGGGATTTTTTGGAGATTTTAGTAACTTCAATAGTTGAGATCATGAGTCGATCGAAGCCAAACCACCACGAAAACCTGGAAACGCTGCTGAGGAGTCCCATACTAGGAAGAAACGGCCGCCCAGCGCTTCCAGGTTTTCCATGATGGTTTGGCTTCAGTTGACTCATGATTTCAACTATTGAAATCATATATTACACAAAAGCTTGAATGAGTGCAAAGTGTAAATTCTAAAATAATTACTAGTGTTTATAATTGTTTAAAAGAGTGTTTTACAATAATTCAGGTTTCTCCCCTTAATATATATTCATACACTGATTCGTTTATGTATTTATATGTTGTTGAATAAAATTATAGGATATAAGTTTGCTACTACAATTTCAGATATTCATATAAATAATATCAATGATTGTGTTTGTTGATAAACATGTTAATAACATTTTAATTTTGTTGCATATTGTTGTTATAGTGACGGAGACTGCTTTGTCAAGACCATTAATTTGATTTGTTAGCTCAAATTTTATTTCTGGCATAGATACACTGGTATATACACTGTGTTTGGTGGAAGGCATTCGATGTTTCTGCTGTCTCATGAAGGTGTGACACAAAGTGCTGTTTTTTCACCTCTTCTTTTCTGTTTTTTTCTACATGATCTTCCATCTTCCACAGAAAACACTATGTGAAATATGCGGACGATCTCACTGTATGTATTCTGATTTCTACCTCTTTACATCCCATAGAAATGAATGAGTTTTTGTCTCGTATTGAACGGTGGTGTATTGTTAATCGTCTCATACTTAATCTATCAAAATGTCAAGCTATTAACTTTAGTCTGAGGCATGAACAGCACATAAACACCATTTTGAGATCCTATAATGCTTGTGCCGTTGGATACTTTGATAAACACAGTATCGAAGGTCAATTACCTTGGTGATACTTTTTCCTCTGATCTCTCTTGGTCTTCTCATGTTTTACTAGTGTTGGTCTAGCTTCAATTGACTCATGATCTCAACTAATGAAATTGGTTTATTCTTTGACAAAACAAAACAATCATCTATAAGCTAAACATTTATTCAATAAAAGAAAAAAAACAAAACAAAACCAAATCATTATCTTGAGCATGATATTTCAAACAAATTATTAAAAGTCATGCAAACTCCTGGCAAGTGTAATCTTGTCAGATACTAACCGTCCCCTTCATTCTTCTCCTTGTATATCTTCTAGTAAAACGAGACATCAATACATTAGAACCCATGCACGCAAGCAAGCGTATAAAAGTTCTATAAACCTTACCTAGCGAATATACTCTGTGATGAACAGGTTGTTATGATTGGCCTAGTCAACTACCTGTATTCGTGAACATGTCTCTGATTGAAAAGTTGTATAGATTCAGATCTTTTTTTCACCTTTTGCTTTTTGTTCCTTTTGTTTTGGTAAAAGAAACTTGTTGAAATACCTCGTGCTGAGAATTTTATTTTGTACCAAAATATAATTTTGAATAAAGCCATCATATATATATAACACTCCATAAAATACTTTTTTTATTTTCAATTAGATACCTGTGCATGAACTAAATTATGCGAACCATAAATCAAATGATCACATGATTGGAAAGCAATACGATGAACGGTATCCTACAGATGGTAACACAAGATTTGTAGAATCAGATTATTCAAACTATTATCCAATGGCATTAAAGCGTACTCTCTTTAATCCTATTTTAATGAAACGTAATTTCGATCCAATTGTATTTAAACGTTCATACTTTGATCCAATTATATATAAACGATCATATTTTGATCCAATTATTTATAAACGATCATATTTTGATCCTATATTATTTAAACGTAATGAGAATCGTCAATTGGAAAAACGTGAATATTTTGATCCGATAATTTATTAAAATCATTCAAAGATTTAAAAAAAAAACTATTTATTCAATAGAAGCACAATGTAATCAATAAAAAATGTATTGAAAAAAATATATAAATATTTCTGAAGATTGGCTTTAAAATGTTGAACTATTCTGTTTCATTGTTTACTGTAATGTTATAAAAAGAAAGAGTGTCCTTACGTAAGCCATTTTTGAGATTTGTTTTAAGTAGAATGATTTCATACACATAGTTCCCTTTATCATTTTGAAAAGAACAAGAACAAAGATTCTAGCAGAATAGCATGAATTCATTTTATTTCGTAGGTTCTCGTCAGCTGCTTACAAATTGTGATACTTAAAAATCATAATTACATAATGGGTTTAAATTGCTAACTGAATATTGTAAATATACATCTAATGTGAAAGAATATTCTACAACATTAATTGTGACAACAGTTCAAAAACGGGTTAGAAACAATTGATTACATAATGAATAACATTGAAGGAATGTAGTGAGTAGAGTTCAGTTGAAAGATTATTAATTTGAAAGATAGTTGAAAAAAATAATAAATAAAATCAATGATGTAATAAATGCAAAAGAAAAATTTTTTTAAGGTGTAGCGAAAGAATATTTGTTCTCAAGGCAAGGAAAGATTAACGGCCGTCTCCTTTTGAATACATAGGTCAGGTTTTTGACGCCTGATGGCAATGGCTTCAGCAAACTTCAAAAGACTGGAGTTTGGCTGCTTATTAATCACCTTAAAGGATTGTAAGGTATCTACCTGATGTCTTGTATCAAGGAGCTGTTTGGTGATTGCACTGTTCAGAGGCTTTCTTTCCCTTTTTCTCAGACTTTTTGGAACATGTTCAATTGTTTCTAAAGCACTTGTGAACTGTTGTCACAATTAATGTTGTAGAATATTCTTTCACATTAGGTATATATTTACAATATACAGTAAGCAATTTAAACCCATTATGTAATTATGATTTTTAAATATCACAGGTTGTAAGCAGCTGACGAGAACCTACGAAATAAAATGAATTCATGCTATTCTGCTAGAATCAAATAGAATAAATTACACACATAAAAGCTTTTCTTTTCGTATTAATGAACTTGAATCTCTAATTGACTATCATTAAAACTTACAGTAGATATGATAACATTATAAGTTAACTAATTATTTTATTGTTCATGGGAAACTAAACTGTTAAGGTTAACCATTTGTTCTTATTATAGTTGATATATTGACAAAGGTTAGAATTTCAGATCTGTGAACTATGAGGTATTGTTTACCGTAAATTGTCTTTCATCAATAACTAACTGAACATTATTATTTTTCCTAGTGGCCACATTAGCTTTAAAATACTGGACATGAATCCTTGAGATAGAAAGTTAACTAGTATATAAAATTTTAATAAGATAGAAAGGTACTCTACATTGATAGCGTTCAGGTTACTTATACTTTATATCTAGATTATTTATGATGTGTTATGATTCATTACAATTCCTTAGGTTTAATTAATATATATACAGCAGAAGTTCTCAATATGTCCAATCGAGTTTAATTTTACAATTATTTGCCGGTGATAATTAAGTTTCCTTTAAATATTTGGATAAAATGAATTTCATATATACGTTCTTCCAGTTATTGAAAATCGAGTTGAGTTTCATGTGAATTCTCGCTTGTTTACTTCCATGAGAAATAATGTTTGTTTATTATACAACTAATTTAGTATATTTATAAATTTTTAGTTAGCAGTAAAAGGGCTAATCCGTATTAATCCTGTAACATTTGGATCAATATACAAATAATTCAGATAAAGCAGTTTGAATATAGAACTTTCATGATGGATTATGACTATTTTTAAATGTATATAAGCGACAATTTATAAAATTACCAAAATTCAAAGGATGCCGAACAGTTGTGATATATATATATATATATATATATATATATATATATATATATATATATATATATATATATATATATATATATATTTCAAACAGTATTTAAAGATGATGTTCTGAACAGTTTAATTTATGGCACTAAAAGTATGTGTAAAGTATGCATAAATTGAAACTGAATCTTCTGTATATAGGTCAACTAAGTGGAATGAAATTTGATCATTTGGAGTATCATTATTGTTTTATGATAGTTTGTAACAGTCATCTTTCCGATGAAAATCATTAAAGCTTAGTGTGAATTATAAGCTTAATGCCCCTGAATTATTTATAAGTGCGAAAGTTAAGAAAGTTATGAGATACATGCTAATTAAGCGGTAATTATAACGATAGTCTCTTTTATGAATGAATATTTCAAGTTATATGTAGTTCGTTATTAAGACTACTTTATCGATTTTACATTCCTGAGATAAACAAAAAGTTTGATAATTTAAATTAAAGGATAAATTACACGAAATCCACTTAGAGATTTTCAAAAGAAAGTTCTGGAAAACTATCCTCATGCTTCGTGTAACCACAGAAATTCCTTTTGAAATTAATTACAATCACCTGATAATTCTCGGAAACTGGGGTAGTGTTCCAGAAGCAGTCTATAGTAAGTATCGCATGATATTGACAATTTGATGACAAGAAGACCATTACACTTAAACAAACTGGTATGTTTGTCTTCTTAATTTCCGGTTTTAGGCTTCAAATCAAGTAACCTCACTAGCTTTCTTTACAGTTCGCGGATTAAAGGAAAAATTACTTTTCCATTTTATGGTTGCCTTCACAAGCACCTCTATCGTTATTAATTCTGATGTATAAATGTGTGAGGTTTGTAGCTTAGATAATATGGTATAATCTAAGCCGCATAATAGCAATCAAAGATTTGGAATCAAGTCATCTTACCACATATTTTGATTGCTCAAACACTCAAATCTGAGCATTCTACTTAAATGTAAGAGATAATATTTCACATATGATTTTGATTGGCTTCGTACACTCTCTAAAATGGTCGAACCGATTATCCTCGATCAAATAATGTTAAGTGATTGTATATTTATCTGAAAATTGTCTATTTAATTTTGAGCAGTTCATTATTTCACTGCACATATTCGTCTCTTGAACAATTCGAGGAAACGGAGACGTTTTTTCTGACATTTACATATAATCTCTCATTTTGTTTTAAAAATCACAGAAATAATCAGGATACTTTTTAACATCATTCAGATAAATGAACTAAATTTATGGTATTTGAAACAGTTCAAATGATTTGTTCGAATAATAATGATTGGATTAAACTATTCGAATAGTCACGCTAGTTATCACATGACTGTGATGAAACGAATTCTTTAATGAATAATCAATTCAAGTGGAGATTTTCGACATTACGACTGGTCCTCTTATTTGTCAGTTCTCTGAATGATCAACTGATTCACTGAATTTGTTTTGTTTGATAAGTAAAATATTATAAGGCATGTATGCATTCAAAATACCTTTATCAATTCACCTTGATTTTGAATATCATTCAGTTGGATAGACTAATTACATGTTTATGAAACTAGATACATTAGAACATTTCATTTACCATCTAATTCAGTTTAGATTTTCAGAAGTGAAAAATCAATATCAGGTAGAGACAGGTTTCTACCTCAGTACAATGGAAGATGGCAGCGCGATTCCGTGGATTCGATGAGATCAGACGTTAACACCGTAGGATGCCGATTGGCCAAGTGGTCTAAACGTTAAGTGTTCGCGTGCGAGACCTTAAGTCCTGGGTTCGGATACCAGGAGCGGAACCGTTTATGCGCACCACTGATGAATCCCATGCTGGGACGAAACGGTCGTCCAGTGCTCTCAGGTTTTATTATATATTTTTATTATATTATTAGAAGCTTTATTCAACATTATATTTTTGGTACAACATAGAATTCTCAGCATAAAGTATTTCAACAAGTTTCCTTTTCTTATACCTTGATCTATTGTGACGATAAATTTTGAATGATGACCGGTTAGATGTTAGGAGTTCGGTAATCCACATTTGATTAATGTTCGTTCGTTTCAATGCATATTGCCAGCCATCATGATGTCGATGATTGCACCTTTTTGTATCACGTATAGCGAAAGGTTGTAAACTTTTCATAAACGCGCCTGAATAGGTTGTGTGCTTAATGAACATAATGATGAACTAAAACAAACAACAAAACAGATAACTTGATGAAATATGTAGATCGGAGGAACAGGTAGCCCAGATATTCAAGCAGGCCGCCAGTCATGGTCTAACATCAATCGATCCATGATCTCAATGAGAAATATTTACTCTTAATTATATGCTTATAGGCATAAATCAGTATTTGCATCACATTTAAGTGCTCAAAAATATTAATGAGTTTTGTATTAATTAAAATATAAGCTCAATAATAAGTAACTAATTTATGACTAGTAGATACAAAGAAATATAAATTGAATGTGAATATTGATCTCCATCTGATATATTATGAAAATAAATAGAAATTATCTAGACTACTTATTTACAATGTCAACGATGACGTAATTTTGTCCTACAATTATCACTATCATAGTTTAACGTCATAATTTTGAATAAACTAAGTACTAGATAGATTCATTTAAAAAGTATTTTATGTACTGATGTAAAATTTAATTTTAATGATTAAGTTTGGTTTGTTGTCTACAAACGTAACTATATGTTGTGGAAAACGCCATTGTACTGAAGAGTATTATTTGAAGCATATGAGTGAACAAATGGTATTTAAAAGAAATCTTATATCTACGATATATCCCTATTCAATCGTTAAAAAAGTGGAAATAGATTGGTTCAATGAAGAAACATTTCCGACGAAGTTATTTTCTTGGTTACATATGAACAAATAATGGAAAGTATATTATATTCAAACAGTCGCCAATTAAGTGTTAAATCATATTGGGCAGCAGAAACAGATTCATCGCTTATGGAGAGATTTAGCGAATACTAAATATCCATATTATAAATGAATAATGATTACCAGGAAATTAATAGACATTCTAATAAAATTGTTACTATGCTCCAGTTCACGACAATAAGATGAGGAACAAGTACATTCAAACATTTTGCCTCAATAATATAATTGGTAGTATTTTGATTATGCGTAAACTACTAATTAAAAACAACTCAGTTATCA